GTCTTCAGCAGTTGTAATGGACCAGAGAGAAAATGGTGACTGGTGTCTCTGTAGAAAGAGATTTCCTTCAAAATTCCTTCTAAAGGAGGTGATGGTTTCTACTTTTTTTGGTCAAAATGTGGTTTGGAGCCTTTTGAATAGTAAATCATATGGTTTCATGATAATACATACGAACTGTGTGATCTAACATAACACCTTTGTATTCACATCCATGACTTCAGGAGGATGATTGTCAGCATTGATATTTTGAAAAGTATTTGCCAAACAGTCATGGCGAGGCAGGTTTCCGGGGTGTTTTCGTACAGCTGCCAATAGTGTTAATTTTGTTGATATTTTGCTTATGGTATTTATGTCTCAGAGAAATCTAGAAATCATAGGATTGCGCTATGGAATCAACCAAGAGACTCAGTTAAACAGCTTAAATAGTTTTTGTTTTGGGGAATGCCAGGAATCAGGACTTTAGTTGGTTAAATATTTAAGAAGCTGGGTCAAATCTAGTGCAGCAACACTTTCCAATTCCTAGACTATTCTGCTTTAAAAACTATGCTATTTCTTTGTTTAACCCTCATCAGATATACACTCCTTAATTTCTGTGTGTATGAGACCTGTTGTATTAAAATATGCATTTTCTGGTTTTAAAGATGGCATTTTTCTGTAGAAGCAGTTCAGAAGGTGATTTTCGAGTAAAAAAAGAATGCTTACAATAATGTGAAGGGTCAATTCTTATATATAAAAATTACGTTCCAGTATAAACATCCTTGAATTCGGTTTTCCTTAAGAGAGTGAAAAAGGAAGTAGTGTTTTGTCTAAGCTTATCAGAAACAAAATTGTGTAGTTGCTAAGTTTTCTCCTGCAGTTAAAGGGAAAGGGCATCTATGGGGCTTATTCTGGAATCTGGTGGCATGCTTTTCAGGATTCATTCTTGGACGCTGCAGCACATGTTGCTGCTCTATTGAATCACATCTATTTCATAGTATTTTTAGATTAAAGAGGATTTATTTTGACTGTGATAAGGAATTAATGATTTTTGGTGACTCCAAAAAACATATTTTGTTGAACATTGTGGTGACAAAACAGAACTGCAAGCACTGCAAACTTAAGTGGTTGTTAGCATGAGAAGTAATTGGAAATAACAGCTCTCTACATGAAAACAATTATCCAAGGCTTAAGAGGCGTCTTTCTCAAGTCTGTAACACAATTAACCTCGAAGTTATCTAGTAAAATTAAAGCTCTTTTCTTTCATAAGACAGCTGGTAAGGGTCATACTGTGTGAATAAGAGAAAGAATAAAAAAGAGAAATAAGAATGAGAAAGCAGTCCAGTTTCAGGTCTGTGTGGCACAGGTCTGAAACTTACCCAGGATGTAGGTAGAGATTACACATCTCTTACTATGAGTTCCTGATGACGTAAAAGTTTGATGCCTTGTCAGTTGATAAAATGCAAGAACGCATAAGGAGAGAAAAAGGTGTTTTAGTCTGGCCAGAAAAAGTCTTTAAAATAGTACAGGAAAACAAGAAACTAAAGGAACTTAATAAGAGACAGGTAGACTTAGGGCAAGAAAGAGTATAACTTACAAGGCTTGATTGACATTAGCAAGTGATTACAAATTATGCTTATCAAATACAGTCTTGTCAGACTGCTCTATGAAGGGATCAGTGGGCCAAGCACCTATGCCTGTGGTACACTAAAATAGTTACAGCACAGCAATTACATTTTTACATCCATAACCTTCAGCTTTTATGTAAAACCAGAAGTATCTGTGTTTTGGCAGCAACCTGAATTGTACATATTAAAGTAGCATAGAGGGAAGTTTACTTCATATCCACCTCTGTATAGGTACTCTTCCTAATTTTGAACTTCTCTAACTGAGAAGAAATTTAAGGTCCTGAACTCCCTTCCCTGTTCCAAAATCTGCCAAAGATCTGCTGACTATCCCAGTATCTGGTCCACTTTGAACACTCTCCTCTTCTGTGTCTGGTGTCATGTGTCGTACGTAAGAAGGTGAATAACCTGGGCATTGTCATCAGGAGTTGGTAGCTACAAAATTGAAAGGTTCTGATATAAGAAATGTGGAAGTGTTCTTGTGTAGGAGTATTCTTTTAAGCATTGTAACATTATGAAGAGTATGAAATTAGGCTCTGAAATAGACTCTGTTTATATATGTACATTTAAAAGGTATTTGTTACTTCACTTAAATAAATGTCAGTGTCATAGCTGTTGGGTCTATAACTTCTTGCATTAATCAGATTATGTTTAATATCTGGGGAGTTAGAGAGTCTTAGCTGATTCTTTAATAAATAAAAATGTGTAAAAGCTGTGTAAAATTTCATTGAGAGTAAATAGTTGTGGGACGTGGAAACTGAACAATTCTAAATATATTAAATTCATATAGATTCAAAAATAGTATCCTCAACCTGTTCTTGGATTACTAAAAAAAGCATGCACGTAGCCAAAATGCAGATAGATCTGTGGTGTTTTCTTGGAATCTCTTACAATGGGGTAAGGTGGCCTGTCACCCTGTTGTGAGACTCCTGTTGGGAGGAAAAAACCCACCACAACCAACCTTGCTTTTCCTGTTTTTTTTTTTAACTACTTTGAACAGTCTTTCACATACATGAAAAAATTCTGCTGTTTATTCTGATAGCAGAATCTTTCTGGTCTCATTATCCATTACATAATTTAAAGGGTAATCTGTTTTCATACATAGTGTTTATGAAGGATGTTCACGGACAGTTTCTTCTGGATCTTCTGCATTGTTCCTGAGACACATGTCATTCTGAGATGATTTTTTTTTCCATCCCGATTATCTTGTGTAGTATGTAGCTCTTTTATACCAAGTGATCACTTCCGTAAGGGTTTTCTCATATTCTAAATAACTGTCTCAAGGCAGTGCCATTTTTATGCACAAGTAGTCTATACATAATATTGTCATAAATCTGTGCATTTAAAACAACAAAAAAAACCCTCCGAACCCTGAACTCACTTGGCCTTGGAGAGCCACATGGAATAGCATGCTTTCTTTTTCTGGAAGGCACAACACTATTTTCATACCCAAGAAGAAATTCAGTGTGTAGACAATAATAAAGAACAATTAAAAATTGTCATTATAAATGGAAATTCCAAATAGAAGTTCATCTACAGGCTACTTTCCTGAACACTCATTCCCCTGTGACTTCTGGAAATTAAATTAGATTAATTGTGTTATTTAAATGAAACACTGAAAGAACTCTGAGCATACAGAAAACACTGTAATCTAGAAGCGTATTTGTCCTTGTTTATACAACCTTTGGTTAACAGAGACTCCTGGTTAACTGAAAGTTGGTCGTGTCCCCTGACAGCTATATGCACTGTATATTACTCCCCTGCTTATCCAGAGAGACATCTGAAATCTTCAGAATAATGGAGTTGTGGGTAAGTGGGTGAGTGCTGCTGAAGCACATTGCTGTCTGGGGACATGACCAACTTTCACTTAACCAGGCATGTCAGTTAGCAGGAAGTTAGAAAAACACTTTGCAGGAGATGAAGTGTGTGTGTGTGTGTGTTTTTATTAGCTCTCTGCTGTTAGATGGTTTGTATCAAAGTACGTATTCAGGAGAACTGCAAAACAAGCCTGCTCTTTGCAATTAACCAGGGGCTGCGTGTCATTTATGCTATGACCTTTTTTTTGTTAGTTGACCTTAAACGCAGCATAAGTAAATGATAAAAGTCCTTGAAACTAAACATCTGAAGCTATTCTGTGATATCAGGGTGCTTTTGGTTTATTCATTAAATTCAATTGAATTTTAATTGCGATGTTAGATTCACAGCTGGTTAGGCTGGCTAGGTGGAGCAGCGACATCCCGCAAGCAATTCAAATGTGATAGCATATACGCTTTGTGATCAGAGAGACGCGTGTCTCAGAGAGCAGCAGTAAAGGGCAAAGACGGCCAATAACAGCACTTCATTTCTGTAGTAGCAGCATCTGTTTAAATGATTGAGTGGCATTCACAAGGCTCTTTGGCTTTGCATTCTGTTAGGAGGATTGCAGCTGTAATACAAGGCTGTTTCTGGGAGGCAGGGGGATGCTTCTGAAAGGCTGACTGATTCCTGTCAGCAGAGGTGATCCTCTGTGGGTGAAGGAGCTCTAAGGTCATCCTCTGAAAACTCAGCTACCCTGTAGCTGCAGAATAATGTGCTGCAGTGTTGCTCTGGGAGGAGGGACTGGCTCTGTGAGTGGAGGGAAGAAGGGCTGTTCTCAGCTAGCAGAGGACAATCAGTGAGTCCTGGGTGATTTGGATGCCAGAGAATGCCTGGATCTATTGTTAAATATTTGCAATGCAAAAGAGAATCTGTGTCTCATGATGCAGGTGACCAGGAGCTTGGGTGTTGCAGTGAGAGGTGAGGTACACAATAATAGATGAGAATCCAGTGTTACAACTCTAGCAATGGGAGTGTTTGGAGTGGTGCCTCCATCTGCCTTTTTTACTCTGGAGAAAATGGGTCCAGGATAGCAGCACAGGAGAGACTGTGATGTTAAGGACTGCAACTTCTTACCCCTTTACACATCTCTAATGAGAAGATACATTATTTTAAGAATTCAGTTAACAACAAAGGGGGAAAGTAAGGGATGGAGTGGGGCGAGAGAAATGACGTTGATAAAAATGTGTGTTTAAGTGCATTTAGATCATACCCTGTAGTTTTACTTGCTTTAGAGAAGTGCTTAGTGTAGGTTCTGGCAGACTTGGAAATGCAGAGAAGCTGACAATAGGAGATACTTTGTCCCTGCAAATGGGGTCTTTAGCACAGACAAGTCAAGCCTCGTCAAGCCACCACTAAAACATAAGCGCATGCAGACATGTGATGTAAAATTATTCCTTAAAACCTACTCCTGCATTCTTGGACTTCACATGGGAGGTTGTGTATCTAGATGTTAGTGACACTTAATACTGCCTTTTAAATCAAGTGTGTTCATAGATCCTTACTTTCTTTTTTTTTTTTTTTTTTTTTTGTCCCTAATTTTAGGATTAAAGAGCCCCTTCAGGACAGTGTAATAGCCACCTATGAAGAACATGAAGATAGTGTATATGCAGTTGAATGGTCCTCAGCAGACCCATGGCTGTTTGCCTCTTTAAGTTATGATGGGAGACTTGTTATTAACAGGGTTCCCAGAGCTCTTAAATATCACATACTGTTATGACTTGCTTGGATCATGGTGGAGCTGTTATCTTGATGTACACAATTGGTAGGTATTGTTTAGGGGTTGGTTTGGTTTTTTTCAGGATCTGTTTTTACTAAGTATAAACGTAGAAATTTTGTTAAGAATATATGTGCTAATGTAGATGCTTTTGTGTTATATATTTGCCTTGGAAAACTATGATGCATTTTCTGAAGGCTGTTTTATTTAGATGTTTTTTGTTTTGTTGAGTTTTTGGGTTTGTTTTGTTTTAGGGGCTAATCACTTTGTCAACTACAAAGTTTCTGGAGATAATGGGTACTTCCCATACTATCACTTTATTTCTTCAGCTTTATGCAAATATAGTGGATTACAGAGGTATTATTATGCTGATATAAAACTGGGACAATGTTGGGTGCATGTAGCAGAAGTGATATACTCGTTTACAAGAATAATATTTTATCTTTCTGATGTAAGCAGCTTTCTGCTCTTAGCTGGGGCCACATTCTGCTAACTATAATCTGGTCATTCTTCAGTGTTTATAAATACAGTTTCTAATAGTCTTTTAAGGCTTTCTTAATTCAGTCTAATATTTTAAACACTTTTTCTCCAATTTTGCATATCCTAAAAAGAAATGCTAATTGTGAAGGGGAAACCATCAAAATATATTTTTCATTTAAGCCTTATGGATGTAATCAACAAAGTATCATCCTGTAATTTGCAAACTAAATGCAATTTTGAGCTATGTGTTGTTATTGGAAACAATATTAGTCTTTACAGAAATCTCTTGTATACTCATGTAATGCATTATCCCACATTTATAAAACTGGTTTGTGCTGTAATATATTTTGAGGGACTCTGGAGCTATGCCATTGTTAACCTGAAAAATCTCTTTAATATTTTTAAGTAGTCTCTCTTTCTTACCGTTTTGGCTCTGTGCCATTCTGTATTACGCTGACATGATGTAGCAGGCTTTTTAACTAAGCACAAAATAACCTTTGCTATATCCTACTTTTTGCAATACCTGCCCTAGGCATTAGTGACTGTCTTGTTACAGATGCTGAGAACATGCAGATGCTGCTCTGTAGGAGAATGCACAGAAAACTTGAAATACAGATTGAAGGCATGATGACTGACATCCTTCCTTCTCTTTGCATAGCTTGCATTAAGATTTTGCATAGTTTGTATTAAGATGGAAATTCTGCTGCTTGTTCTTTGTGTACTCAGACTAACCACAGCAGTAATTTATTCCCTGTCACCTTTTTATGACTATTATTTCCCATTAACTTCAGAACCTGGGTAGATGAGGTGGTGTTGGTTGTGGTAGCATTGTGTAAGACCACCCTGAAGAAATGGCAATGAATATGGGATGGAAAGATCAATCCCAGCCTCTTCCAGTGATTCCTCCCGTTGCTACGGCAACTGTTGGTGTTAGGGTTGAGGGACAGCCTGCTGCTCACCTCTGTTTGTCCTTACCCACTCTTGGATCGAAACATGTCCAAATGTGATTTGTTGTGTGTACACAGCTGCTTCGGTGAGATCACACTTTGAGAGCATGACTGACTGCTGTAAGCCAAAACATCCAGAAAAGATGGATGTTGAGTTCTATTTCTGGCTTTCTTAAAGAGCTTGTTTGGAAGATTTTATAGGAGTGGAGTAATCCAATTAAATCATCTGTATTATTGTTTGTATTTGTGTTACAATGCTGCCTGTCTGCTCCAGAATGAATGCTTCATTGGAAATTCTGATGGTCTGATTTTCTTCATTAAGATTTTAAACTTGGCTATTTCAAATTGTCTCAATCTGTAATTAGGCATGAGCTATTCACCTGTACACTGGGAGAAAAATTACATTTCCAAATCAGTAGTGCTTCAATAGTCTGACTGTCAAAATCCTTGGCTGGGCTGCAGCTGTATATGTGGATCTTTCAATCTTCAGACACAGAACCTTGTTGGGTCATCATGTCATGTCATTGTCCTCTCTGTGCTCTCCCCACCTCCCTTCACCCCCACCCCCAACCCTTCCCAAACAACAAAACCAACCAACCAATGAAAAAAAAAAAAGCAGCAACTAAAAAACTCAACAAAACCCAAACCAAACAAACCCCACCAAAACAAGCAACCACCCTGCAGCGGGACTCTTTAAAACTTTCTTCACATTAGCAATAAAGGTCTAATGAAACTTTATTGTTTGTTAATGTGTAAGGCTTCCAGTGTGAAGGTGACGGGAAATTGCATATGAGTATGCGGGATTTGATTTTTAACATATAATAAATGTGGGACATATTTCACACTGTTTTATGTGGCTGTATTTCCTTTAATATTGTAAACTTATAAGCTGGAAAGCTCTGTAAACAAGTAATACCAAGAAATTATTTGTTTCAGTTTAGTAAAATGTATGTATCAATAGAGAAGAAGAGAGGGGATGAGCACTGGAAAGGAAGGCAGTAGCAGGTTGAATTTGAATGAAATGCGTTACAGTAGAATCAAGAGAGGAGGAAGGGTCAAGTTTTAATAATTTTCAGCCATTTGTAAAACAGGATCTGAATTACGTGTACAGCACCAATAGCAATATGGAAATGACCTTCAGAAAGGGAAGACTTTTGACAAGATTTCATCCCAGGCTGTTAGGAAAAGCAAGCTGCTGTAGGGTAAGAGGAAGTGTTCAAAGATCTGAAGGAGGCCTGTAAGGATGCTGGGGA